ACACACACACACACACCAAAAAAAAAAAAAAAAAGAAAAAAAACCTAAGTGAGCATGCAGCATTCTCTTTCATTAAAGTGAAAGTACCTTGCTACCCAAATTTGTCTGGAAGCCAACCGCATTATCAGTGTCACAGATAGCATGTTAAAAACACAAAATGGTAAAACTGCCTTGGACCTACCAAATGACAATATGCATTTTAGCAAAATAAAAGGGGATCCATACAAAGATTAAGTAGCTGTTGTTTTAGGGGATATTCATTTTAAGTAAAGAGATTATTTTTCCTTTCTATTGAAGTTATTTAAGAAAATGTATAATTACAGCGATAAGTTGAAAATATGCCCAGATTTATTTAATATTTAATGCAAAATTAGATTTTAAGACACAATTAATATTGCAAAGGTTTAAAAACTTAATTATTTTCCATAGAATGGTCAAATATCTTAATAACTAAAAGATGTAAATGTGTTTAGAAACTGTAGGAATTAGCAAAGTAGAAGAAAAATCAAAATTGCATGCACCTCTTTTAAAGATTATTGAAATTGAATTTTCCTGTGCATCTGTGTTGAAGATTTGTATTTATCACCATTGCAAATTATCATTAGAATGCTGTGCCTTAGGTAGTCACTGCCCTTTAACATTCAACACAGACCACAGTCAGTTCTCAGGCTGGGGACATGCTCAGTGCCATCCAGCAGAACCAAGTAGCTGAGCCCTGCCTTGGTCAGTCAGATTATTGTTAACATGAACATCCATGAACGTGTAAATAAATGATTAGAGTGATAAGATATTGTAGTTGAGTGGTTAGTTGCCAATCATTATCAGGCAAAAGCTGAGCAATATGATATTTATACAGATATGATATTTATACATCTATCCAAGTAGGTGGATATATTTTTACTAAAATTGATGGTATAAAATTAAATACTTAACAAGCCATCTACAAATATACTTAGAAGAAATTACAAAAATTTTGAGGAGAAGAAAACTGTTCCACACTTATATAAGAGGCTAGCATTACACTAATCCCAAAACTCAACAAGGACCCAACAAAAAAAGAAAACTGCCAGCTTGTATTTAGTAAATAAACATACATGCAAATTTCTTTAACAAATTACTAACAAAACACATCCAATTGCATGTCAAAAATATGGTTCACTATGATCAGGTGGTATTCCAGGGATATAAGGTTGGTCCAACATACACAAATCAATAGACTTTGTTCACCATATCAACAGGATGAAGAACAAAAAACATGATTATCTCAATAGCTGCAAAAAAATTTTTATAAAATTTAACATCCCTTCACAATAAAAGCCTAAACAAATAAGGCATAGAGGGAATGTATCTCAACAGATTAAAGGCCATATATGCCAGAGGCATAGATAACATCATATTGAATGGGCAAAAATTGAAAGCCTTTCTTTAATATTTGGAACAAGGCAAGGATTCTCATTCTTACCACTTTTATTAAACATGGTACTGGAATTTCTAGCCAGAACAGTCCGAGTCAAGAGAAGGAAATAAAGGTTGTCCAGAGTCAAGAGAAGGAAATAAAGGGTGTCCAAATTGGAAAGGAAGATATCAAATTGCCCGTTTGTTCATGAGATAATCATACATTTAGAATAATTTAGTGATTCCACCAAGAAATGTTAGAATTAATAATAAAAACAATAAAGTTGCAGGATACAAAATTATCATACAAAAAGCAGTAGCATTTTTATATGCCAACAGCCAATGACTTAAGAAAGCAATTCCATTTATAGTACCTCTAAATGCATTAAATACCTAGGAGTAAAGTTAACCAAAAAGGTGAAATATCTCTACAATGAAAACTATAAAACAGCGATGAAAGAAATTAAAGAGGACACACAAAAATGGAAAGATATCTTCTATTCACAGATTGGGAGATTGAATGTTGTCAAAATGTCCAGACTATCCAAAGTAATTTATAGATTCAATGCAGTCCCCATCAAGGGGACCAATGATATTCTAACTAGAAATAGGAAAAATAAAATAAAATTTGTATGGAGTCACAAATGACCCTGAATAGCCAAAGGAATTCTAGGCAAAATAGTGCAAAGCTGGAGACATCACACTACCTGATTTCAGAATATACTACAAAGCTATAATAACCAAAGCAGCATGGTGCCAGCATATAAACAGACACATAAACACATAAACAGAACAGAGAATGCAGAAATAAATCTACACATTTACAACCAACATATTTTTGACAAATGCACCAAAAATATACAATGGGAAAGGATATTCACTTTAATAAACGGTTCAGGAAAACCTATACATTCATATACAGAAGAATAAAACTAAACCCCTGTCTCTCACCATAGACCAGAATCAACTCAAAATGGAATAAAGACTTACATGTAGACCTGAACCTATGAAAGTACTGGGAGAAAATATTGAGTAAATCCTTTAGGGCTCTGATCTGGGTAACCAATTTTGGGGTAAGAACTCAAAAGCAAAAGAAGCAAAAACAAAACTAAATAAATGGGATTATATTAAACTAAAAAGCTTCTGCACAGCAAAGAAAAAAAAACATAGTGAAGAGATAACTTACAGAATGGAAAAAGTATATATATGTATATTTTCAAACTGTTCATTCTACAAGTGCTCATTTACCAGAATACAAAAGAAACTCAGATAACAGCAAAAATAAAATAAAATAAGCTGATTTAATAGTGGACAAATGATCTAAATAAACATCTCTCAAAAGAAGATATGAAAATAGCCAATAAGTATATAAAGAAATGCTCAACATCACTAATCAAAAGGGAAATGAAAGTTAAATCCACAACGAGATATCATCTCACTAGTTAGAATGTCTATTATCAAAAAGACAGAAAATAACAATTGCTTTTGAGAATGAAGAGAAAAAAATGCAGAAATTCTTACACACTGTTAGTGAGAATACAGATTATTGCTGTCATCATGGATAAAGGTACAA